TCCTGCTTACATGATTTTACATGGCGACGTCCAATTCAATCTTAATATTTATCTTCGATTGAAAACAAAATACAAAATAAGGAAAGATTTCTCAGTTCAAGCAATGGCTTAAGTGCATTTTTTACGTAGCATAGACTTAAAAAACTTAGCTTCTCAAATTTCTTTCTAAGGCCTCTTAAATACTTATATTTTAAAATTTTAACAAATTTAACCCTTCCGCTTTCTTACCTAAAATTTATAAATTCTTATTTTTCTATTCACAAATCGTAAATATTAAATCATGTATTACCTCTTAATACTAAGCTCAAATTTTACAATAAATAAAAAATCACATTGATTTCCACCCAATATTCATCGACCAAAACTTCAAATTTATATTACATTCAAACACTCACATTCACATCTTAAAAAACCTTCCAAATTTCGTTAAATTTGGATTTTTTTTTTAATTTTTTTAATTTTTTTTTTCCATATCTCGATTCACTAAACTATATGCATAAGGAATAATAATTTCAATTTGATAGTTTTATGTAAAAAAATTATCATCAAGAGAACCGAATTTGCATGATTTTAAAAATAGACTTAACAATCTAAAAAAAACTTGGTTTGGAAGTCTAAAATCTCACAATCCAAACTTAGCTAAATTAAGCCATTATAATATTTAAAGTCTATCGGGAGATTTAACTACTAACCGCATTGCAACAATAGCAAGAACCAAGGGCGCATTTTACCGAAGGAAATTATTATTCCTTCAGTTACAAGAAAAATCCAATACAAATGGGCAATTAAATTATCACTGAAACAATAAATTGTCGATCAAAATTTGTATTGAAGAATTTTCAGCAATTACAGGTAAATAATCTCCGCCACCTCACTCCCCAAGCCCCAAAGGCAGGCTAAGGGTTCTGAAGGTAATAAGGTAATAAACAATCTGCGACTCTGAAAATAAGATGTACCCAGGCCTCCTATTGACTTGATTTTTTCCTTCTATTAGACCAGATTTTTATATATAACTGTAGTCACTCCCTTTACTATTAGTGACAACAGTATACAACCTAACCTTACAACGTGCACTAAAAAATCAATACAATATTTACACCAGAAATCTTGTAAGAGAAGGAAGTAAGCGCACCCGGAAAGAAAAAAACTTTCTGCCACCCGAAATAACCATGAATATAACCAATCGAATGGCCCGGAGGAAAACAAGTCACAGATACAGAGAATTCGAAAACATAATACCTCGTCGAAGGCTTTCACTTGCTGCTGCAAATTTCTGCTCCAAGGCAGCCTCTCCAACTGCATTAGCAGCAGCACGCAACTGCAAAGAAGTAAGGCAATCAGAACTCTATGAAATTCATCATATAACTGTATTCCTTTAATTTCCAAATATTGAAATCGACCAAAAATGTGTCAGGATAACTTGGAGAATGATCAAGTATACGGAATGCTAATTTTATAAGCCCCTAAAGGCAAAATTTGAATATTTTGCAACATTTAAATAACTGAGTTGAGGCACAAAGCGCAATGACTTTCTTTTGTCCCAATAAGTAGCAGTATAATTTATGACAACACGAGTTATCTACAGTGAAGGAATTTAAAGAATTGCTAATGTTTAAAACGTAATTGGAAAGATTTTCCAACTAAATCAAAAATACAGGTAAACCACTTACTTTTGACTCTAGCAAATTACACTTTCACTTTTGGCAATTAAACACTTCAAACTTCAAGTATATATCAGATATTCCATCCGTAATTAAGTTATAAAACAACTGACAATGCAAGGGTCCAGATTAGCACACTTTTTGAGTCGTGCTGTCAAACCCCCAGCTTCAGATTTACTTGCTCTTTTCCAATTCTTGAATAGAAGGGCCCATTTGCAAGATGCAAGTTTTAAGCTAGATCATAGTCAAAAATGAAACCAAGTGGTTATTTTATAAAGAGTGGACATTTGTATACCTGATTCAAAAACTCGTCAAGCCTTCTAGCACTCCGAATGATACTTCCCTCAAAGATGTCAGTCATTTGTATAACATCAGCAAAATTTGCTCCCTGGAGAAAATTTTAAAAGGAAAGGCGAGAGAAATTAATATACATACTTAAAAAGAGTATATTTTCCTTCTTTTTTTTTTCTCCCACTCTTATGAGAATGCATACCCATCATTAGTTTCACTGCAGCTAAGATGACTACATACATGTCTTGGGTTGCAACATAAAATGAATTTTTGGGCCACAATGAACGCACGAGTCCATGCTAAAGAAACTATATGTTACTTGGTAATGAATTAAGACTAGTAGACCATGGAGCTTGTCACTAACCCATAACGTAGGTCATGCTTAGAGAATAAGTTAAAATTTATAAAAACCCACACACTGGTCAGGACACCTAAAATAAAACATTGTTGCTTTGTTCTGGTCCCTATTAAAAAACTCTACATTTTTTGTCCTTACACGAAAAAAACTAAAACATCATCATGACTTCAACAATTAGCATTCAGCACAGACCAATTTCTAGTTATTTTTCAATGTTAAGGTAAATATGAAATGTCATGAAACAAAAAATAGTGTCAAGGGGCAATTTTTATTTGAACCAAATAATAATAAACTTATCCAGTAATACGAACTGTCATGAACCATCAATCCAAAGTCTTAAGCTATCAGTGAAGACACACGAATGGATTTTATATTATATTTCATAGATGCTCCATAATACAAAGAGACATTTGGTATTGAAGCATGGACAATGCACAAGCCCACCAACTTGGTGTTGAAACTAAACTATTTTTTATTAGAGGAATGGGGCAGCAAGGATCAAAAACTCTAGACCACTTGGTCATATAGAGGCTTTGATGCCAAGTAAATGACTTAAAAGTAGACAAGGCTTCAAACCAAAAATATGGCGTAACTAACCTTCGACCATGAGTAGATCACATCCATCAAGTATGGCCTCACTGTTGATTCCACATACTCATTTACATTTATATCCAATTTGCATTCATGTTGTATCTGTGACAAAAGGGTGATGATCCCATTTATATTTAAATACAGAAACTCCCAAAAAAATTCAGGTTAAGTGATAAAACATCTACCTCTGCTATCCTTCTGGCACTATCTTGAAGCTGCTGCAGAGGCCTTGCAAGCTCTGTTCTCAGTTGTATCTGCTCAGTTGATTTATCTCCTGGTATGAAACAACTCGCAAGGGCAGCAACTTGATGATGGTCAAGGTCATTAAAAGTACCTAATGGAGGAGGGAAAATGAAGAAAAAAACAGGTTACAAAATATATTGAACTGCAAACTATACAGAAAGCACAATGAGGAAACAAATATTGAATCACCATTAAACATTAATTCGGTAACAAGGAGTTCATCGCCCGTGTCAATCAAGCAGGCTGCCCGTCCCTTCAACTGAACTACACCATCAGCATCAATATGACCAAGCTTCTTTAAGACTCGTGAGCGATTCTTTAGTTCTTCACAAAATTTTTGTAGCTGAAAAGAGTTTAAGTAATTAAATAGTAATGCATTCAAAATTTGTCATGAATAAAATCACCATATTAACAATCTATCAACTGTTAAGTCGTTAATTTGCATAGTCACATGGAGATTGAAAACATACAATTCAACGCAGACACTATCTAGACTCCCATCAAGTTCCAACCTTATGTGATCTGACTTAATATGTAAATCTAGCAAAGAAAGACAGATTAGCAAAGTCATACCTGGGAATCCCGCATTTTTGTCTTCAGTTGCTGAATTTCATGATTCACTTCTGCTTTCCTCTCAAAGCATTTAATTTGATCCACATCTTGATGCTAAATTGCAACAAAATATTAAGGTAACACTCAAACCAAAGGAAAAGCAACATCACATTTATAACATAAAAATAGGGGAAATAGTGTTCATTTTAACAAACCTTATGCATAGGATGGGCAAACAATTTTTTCTCAAGTTCTTCTATTTGATTGACTAGTTCAACTATCTCTGCGTCCCGTACATCCATGTCCTGGAAATATTATTTTAGAGAATACAAAACATAATTATTGTTCTGATTCTGTTAAAGATCAGTCAAGCTCTATTGTCTTCCAATTTGTTCTCTAAAATAATCAGAAAATAGTGTACCTAGTAAAATCTGTGACTAGAGTTTACCAAAAAAAAAATATTGTACTTTATTTTAATAGAAATCATGTGATTTAAGAACCTTATCCATTTAAAAGCAGGAGAATGAAACAGAGAAGTTACAAGGTAAATGAAATGAAGGATAAAATATGACACAGAAAGGCAATTCACAGTTTTGGCTATGCAATGTAAATACCGGAACAAACCTTATAATGAGAAGATAGAATGTCAGAAAACAATCAATTAACTAAATCTTTTGTTGTTATGTAGTTTAAGTAAAAAGCATGCATCTATTAGCAGGTGAATCACTAAAGGATATAGTGCAGTCAAGCCTACTTTTGAGGTCAAATGTTGACAACTTTTATTTATCTAACTCTATGTTTATATGATAGAGAACAATAACATACCAGCAACTTGTGGCATGTGTGAGGAAAAAAATTACCTTTAAAGGGTTAAGCTTTGGAAGCCCTTGGGGAAAACGATTGCCCAGCTCCTGTACAGCAAGCAGTATACTTTGCCTGGCTTCCAAGGGTCAGAGATCAGAAGGTATAGATACCCTCAGTTTACCAAGGGCAGAGATTAATGGTAATTGAACAGGGACCTAATACAGAAGGAAGCAGACAAGAGAAAGCAACGTAAGTTTTTCTGATATAGTTAGAGTTACAACAAAAAGCCATGAATAAAATCACGTAAAATCTTGAAATGTCAACTCACCACATGCATTTCACCTTTCTCTCCAGGGCGGGGTGGACATGGTTTTGGCCGTGAACTGTTTTCATTTGAACCAGGTGAACAATGAAGTAAAGTATCAACAATATAACCACCACCAGAAGGTTTCTTAACAACATTGACTACAACACCCCAGCCCCAATCAGTTCCACCTTCTCTTACTTTGATCTGAAATGTTAAAAGGTCCATCTAACTCAGTAAAATACATCAAGGAAAAAGAGCAGAAGACACAGTAAACAATAAAAAAAAAGTAAAATATAAAAATTTGTAGGCAGACATTAAAGGGGAAAAAATGAATCAAACAAATGTGTAATTTCTACTAATTTACTAATTAATATATATCAACATGACATTGATGTATGTCATAAACTCATACATACTGTTGGTAAAAAAATAAAAAAAAATTCGAGAGGCAAAACATAATTCAAAATCATTTCCATGCTGATGCATACTGTCACTTACCAACCGACCAGGGACAAGAAAATAAAGAATTATTTCAGGCCTGATTATTTTTGACATCATCTTCTTCTCCAGCTGTGCTATTTCCAGTTTTAGCTTATGATATTCAGATACTTCAGCCTACATAAATTATACGTTATAATAAATCAAATGTAAATATATTAATAGAATATCAAACATATAGTTAGGAAAAGTAAACTGGGTGCTCAGGAACAAACATTACCTCCCCTGAAGCATCAAGCAATGCTACTTCCTGCTCCAGCAGTGACACCTTTTTCCCCATATCTGGTAAGGCCTGAGAAAGAGTAAGGCAATGCAAATAAGATATACATCTTAGTGCAACAAATGCTAACAAGACTTTAAGGAAATAGTTCGGTAGAAACCTTTTCATATTGAAATTGATGAAATGAATTTCGTATTACGTGTTCGGCAGTAAATTGGCCTTCTGCTCGGCTCATCAAATTTAAAATTGAGTAGTAGCTAAGCCTGAATGTACTAACTAAAGGAGCAGGTTTACCCAAAACCATGTCTTTGAGGTTATTCATTTCCATCTGCATAAAAAAATCAGATAAACAGTAAGCCAATGAATGTAAAACTAATTAGTTTTCAAATAGGTGACTGTTATATACTAAACAAATAAGAAGACAAACAGAACACTATACAGAACAAGTTTGACAACTGGAATACCCACCTGTTCATCAATCATTATGATACAAATTCCACGCTCATCTTTGCCACGACGTCCAGCCCTTCCACTCATCTAAAGGTAGCAAATCATTAATAGAAATGAGGGCACTAGAATGAATAAATTAACAACCACCACCTAAAAAACTAAATCAAACCTCACCTGTATATATTCACCAGATCCAATATAACGGTGACTATCACCATCCCACTTCTTTACAGCAGTGAATACAACAGTTTTTGCTGGCATATTTAAACCCATTGCAAACTGAAGAAAAGTGCATCTGAGATTCATTCCAAAAAGTAACAGGGAAAAAATAAAAATAAAACAATGAAATCAGAAGGTGGATAAAATCTTACTGTTTCAGTAGCAAAGAGGGCTTTTACAAGACCTTCCTGGAAAAGAAGCTCAACCAATTCTTTTATAACAGGAAGAAGTCCAGAATGATGAACAGCAATCCCTCGCTGAAGAAGTGGCAACATCAACTCAATAGCAGGTAAGCTCCTGTCTTCTTCATTCAAGCAGAGAACTGCATTTTGGAAAACATGTTCCACTGTTTCCTTTTCCTCTTGGGTGTTGAAGTCAAGCTTGGACATAGACATGGCATGTTGTTCACACTCTCTTCTACTAAAGCTAAAGATGATAACAGGCTGGAATTTCCGTTCCATGATCATCTGAAAACCAAGAAACCCTCTAGCTCAAATAAAGACTAAGAAGTTGTTTTTTATGTAGTGGAGGTTCATTGAGAAATAGGGGGAAAATATTTGAGGGAAATGAGGATAATAAATCCTACTTAAAAAAAGCAAAATTAAAAAGTATACATCTGGGAACAATATACACCATGATAGTAAAGCTACCATCTATCAACATATCTGTAAAGGACACTCCTTTGAAATGGCCATATGCTTTGCACCATACGGAAGGAAGCCAAACACCTAAATTACACCATATGGGTTAGCTTATTTCAAAGTCAAAAATTCTTTTTTTTTTTTTTGTTATAGCATCCTTGGAGAGATTTGAAAAAAGAAATAATTATATCAGCCAAAAAAGACTTTCCCAAAAAATGCAAGTGACCTTGGAAGGAGCTTTAGATTTAAAAAAATAATAATAAAAATAATAAGGTGGAATTATTTTCCAAACAACAAATGAGTTGAGAATAAAAAAAAATTAAATTGTAAGCAAACACCCCAAAGGAATCAAGAGACTCAGAAGGACTGTCAGTTCATTCATGACTAAAGTAAAAACAATTAGATTCCCAACTCAGTATGGTTTTGATGTTTAACGTGTGTAACAACACCTCCTTTGTTAAGAAGGAAAGACCCCCCCCCCCCAATGTGCTTTTCCCTTCTCATTGTATTTATTTATTTATCAAAAAAGTAATAATTATAAATAAACAACTCCAAATTAACAATATTAGGTCTGTATACTAATAGACATTATTAAAAATATTTAATCCATGGTAGTTGAGTTGGGAATCAAATTGTGAATCAGAAAATCTATTTTTCGAATTGTGCATTGAACCTTATTGTGAATCGTAAGATTCATGATCAATAATAAAACATACAATATACAACAAAGACATAAAGGACAAATTCATGACCAATAATTAAAAAATAAAATTCTAGGAGCATTATAACACAAACATACCAAAAATCAAAACATATATATGAATATGTGTGTGTTTGTGTATAAGCATTTTGGAACTAAAATAGCTAACTAAGTGACACATAAGTTTCAAGACAAAAGAAGTCCAAATCATAACAGCCACAAGGCCAAAAAGACAGTGGCTTCTGCTAAAGAAGCTGCACACAACAAGAATACACATAACAAGGCTGCGAATCACCAACCAGCAGCAGAAAAACACACTCACCCACAGGAAAGGGACCACCAAGCTTGCTCGTGTAATGGCAGAATGAGCAAAGGCAACACAATAAAATACAAAGAAAAGAAGAAGAGGATAGTGGGTCACTTTCTTGAACAAACAAATGAAGAAATGAAAGGTGACAACAATGAGTGAAAACATGAAAAGAGACAGTGGGCCACCCTGGGTCAGATTGGAGGGGTAAAATCAGTCTAAACCCCTCTGAATTACTAAATTTTTTCAAAAAAATAGAAGAGGAATTTTAGGGTTATTTTAGAATTGGAAAGCACATGGCAACAATCTCATGATTCATGTGTGGGATGTGATTCAAGTGACTAATGTGCGATTTGAACGATTCATCTACTCAAGCAATAAAATGATTCAACGCATGAATCGTACTGCCAAAGCCATGTATTATATCACATGTATTACATCTTGAATCGTATCACAACAGTGATTGAATCTACTGCTTATTAACTTGTCCAAGGCAAAACTTTTTTTTACATGACTTGTACATGCAAAGATTTTGTCTTGAAGAAAAAATTTCAAAGAATTGGTGGCAGTTCTTACACATATTTGTCTGCTCCAAACAGAAAAGTGAGAAGTTCTCTGAATTAACCCATTTGAGTGTTATTTTGCATTTTAGGCACCATTTCTGACTTTTAATTTAACATCTTTAGAATCTGCCGATATGTCACAAACAGAAGCCATGTAGCTCTAGCCAACAGAACACCAAGTCAACTCATTTCCAGTGACAATTACGATACAGAATAAGCTCCTTAACAATTTAAGGATGTGTCTAGGTAAACAGCTTAATTAAACACTTATTGATCAAGTGATTATCATTTAAGCTTTTATGTATAAGTTGTTACTATAATCAAAAAAGAAAATGTTGTTTTTATTTATGTTGCAAGTTAATTCATAAGCTATCCTAAAGAGCATATTCTTGAAAACAACTCATGGACATAATAAAATAAGTTATTTTCATAAACTATCTAAGTTCAATTGTCATAAGCCAATAAGTTCTTTCAAATGCATCCCCTTAAGTCAGTAACTGAAAGAAGAAAAAAAATATTGAAGACATAACAGAGGATATCCAGACTTCACATATAGATATAGGCCCTGTTTGGAAAAAGTTTCCAACAAACACTTATTGGATAAAAAATAAGAAAGTAAAATGAATTATACTTCTATATGTTAAAATCAACTTATGCACTTCAACTTCTATAAGAACTCCCATCAGCTGATTTTAACTTATCTATGAGTTAATTTTAACTTAAATAAAAGTTTAATTCATTTTACCTTCTTATTTTCTTTTTCTACAAGTAGTTATTCAAAAGTGTATCTAACAGAATCATAGTCGTTTGTGGTTGGTACTATTGACACGCTGAACAACTTCTCATTTGATTACTAATAATAATAACACAGAAGTGCTGAGCTGACCTTAACAATTTTGTATACGTCATAAAATAAGTAAATTATATGTAAACAAGTTCTTCCGAATTCACCCTAACCCCCATGTTTGTTTGGGTAGAAATAGAGCAAAAGAAAATAGGAAGAAGGGAAAGAAAATAGAAATTATTCACTGTTTAATTGAAAGGAGGAATAGGAAGGAGAAAAGTTATCTCTGAGGAATCCAACAGAACACACTTTTTTCTCAAATTGACATGAAAAAGGATGGAAATGATCTCTCTCTCTCTCTCTCAATTTTGTATTAATTTTTAAAAATAAATATCTCTTAATAATTAAAAAAAAATGTTATAGATAAAAATAATGAAGTAAAAAATTATATTGTGTTAATACGTATATAAATATTTTTGATCTGATTTGTGTATTTATTTCCATTCTTTTTTCCACCCATACAAGCAAGTGGAGAGAAATTTCTCCCTTTCTTTCCTCCCTTCTCTCATCCAAACACATCATTTCTAGCATATTCCATTTCTATCTCTATCCTTCACATTCTCTCTATATATATATTTCACTCCTAATCCAAACACACCCTATACAATTAGGCAGAATATGCTCCTCAACAACACAGTTCAATAACAGAGAAAAAGAAATAAAAAACTATCGAAAACACAACAGAGAATATCCATACTTAACATAAAGAATAGACATAACCATTCACTTATTCGTGCTTTGAGCAATTGACAAGCTAAACAACATCTCATTCGATTACTAACAACAAAAACACACAAAAGCACTGAGCTAACCTTAACAATCTTGTAAATATCAGAACCACCAGAAGCATTGCCACCTTTCCCACCTCTTCCACCGCCTTTACCACCCCTCTTCACATCCCCAACGTTCTGCTTCGCGAAAGTATCCTGCAGCTTCAGAAAGTTATCCTCCCTGAACTGTTCATTCTCGTCCACAACCAAATACAACCCACTCCCTCCCATGGGGAACACGTAGTGCTGCAATGGCGTAGGTCTGAAATCAGTATAAACCACGTGACAAGGCTGCTTGTGAATATTGCAAATCCACTCCGCGAATTCCGTCGCATTGGACATAGTAGCGGAGAGGAAAACCATCTTAATCGCCGGCGGGAGGAAGATTATACTCTCTTCCCAAACAACGCCTCGTTCGCGATCCTTCATGTAGTGAATCTCGTCGAATATAACCCACGCGACTTCTTTTAAGACCTCAGAGCCTCGGTAGAGCATTCCGCGGAGAATCTCGGTGGTCATGACGAGACACGTGGCGTTCGGTGAGAGCGTGACGTCGCCGGTCATGAGGCCGACGTCTTGGAACTCCTGGCTGAGCTCGCGGTACTTCTGGTTGCTGAGCGCCTTGAGCGGGGAGGTGTAGATGACGCGCTGCTTGTCGCGGAAGGACATGGCGATGGCGTACTCGGCCACGGCGGTTTTGCCGGCGGAGGTGTGGGCGGAGACGAGGATGGACTCGTTGCGCTCGAGACAGGCGATGGAGACCTGCTGGAAGGGGTCGAGTGCGAAGGGATAGGACTTGGCCGTGGGACCGGTGTGGAGAGGGTTCGAGAGGGTTCCGTGGAGGGTCTCGTCCTTGCTCGAGACGTAGCCGACAGGCACGGCGACCTCATGCACGCACGTGCGCTCCATGCTGCGCGGTTTCTTCGGCTTTGAACTCGTGTCTGTGGCTTCTGGCTCCCTTCGCTTTCCCAGTGTCGGAGGTTCCTTCTCCTTCTCCATCTTCTCCTGCGAGACTCAGCTGCTGCTGCTGCTGCCACTCGCAGAGTTTGAAACTGAAACTAACGGTGAACGCGCAGAGGGAAAGCGCAATTATGTTGAGTTTGATTTTCAGGCCAAAACCCTAGTTTCTGGGTGGTTTTAGTGTCTGTTTGTTTACCTTCCAGCTAGCTCCGTTCTGGGCCTGGAGAACAGTCACAGGCCCAAGGTAGAGTTTTCGGCTCTTAGACAGAACTTTTAAATATTTTTACAGCAAATGTCATACACCACTCCCCTATTGAATAGATTAGTTTCTCATCTATATTTTCTCAAAAATTTCTTTTCAGGAAAAAAAAAAATGAATAAGAAAAGTGTATTAGTAATGAATAGAGATGTACTTAACAAAAAAGTCTCTTTATAAGGTTCAATTTTTTGGGCCAGTTACAAATCTAATTCTCGGCCCAAAATTTAGACACGCTTAAAATTTCTCGCTCTTCTTCCTAAGTTCAGCTGGAAACACCATAATGGAGAAGAATTCAGCCGCTCATTTTCTTAAGTTTAGCTGGAAACATCGTATATAATAAAATCTATCTTGCTCAATTAGTTAAACAAAGTGTATGAATGCTGAATATTCCTTATATCAAATTCAATTCCCATAAATCTAAAAAAAAAAAAAAAAAAACAGTATAAACACCATACATTCACTCCAAAGAGAATTGTAATAAAATAATTTAACTGACATTTTTATCGTTGGTTCTCGTTTGTTTTCATTCGCCCTTTATTTGGCATAACGACGGCATTCTAAATCAGGAATTCGAATGAGAACCCTTCACATGATGAATAATCAATTGATGAAGAACATGATTTGTTCGGGTACATATATGATTTTGATATAAATAATAAAATGAAAATGCAAAATTTAGTGAATTATTTTTTACAGCAATATAATGCATCCATTGTTTTTCTGTATTGGATGCTTCAATATCTATTTGGCCATAAATACATGATACAATACATACAACATTACTTTTAAGTTTACAACACTAGTACTTACTACATTAGGATTAGTGGAAATTTGCTCAATAGCTGCCGAGTGTTTCTAAAAGGGTCAACTAAAAAGCCACCTTTCAATTCAAACGCCAATAACTCCTCATAGACCGCACAAAGCCTACTTTCAGACGCTACTGAACTATGCCGTTATATTTGAGCCTTTCTTTCTACAATACGCTGAATTAAATAGATATTTCAAACACTGCCAAGAGAACTCTGGCTCAACTTTACAACATGGCTTAACATATCTGTTAGGGTGTGCCTGTGGACCAAATATTTGATTCATTACCAGGTTAACAACCTTAATGGAAGCGATAGATTGAGTGCAGCACGTTTTTCCACCTTTTCTTCTACTGGCTCTTCAAATTCAGCTGTACAGAGCAGTGACAAAATTTATCCTTTTAACTTGCAACATTACCCTGGCTGCAACACCACGAAAAAATCGTCCACAGAAATGCCCCACTACCTTTTGGACAACGGCAATGAATGTCTCCGAAATACAAATTAAGCTACTAACACAGAAATTCCTGGACGCCATTTAAGTATTCCCACCATCAGAGCTGCTACCTGCTGGATATGGAAGGCCGCCATGGCCAAAATCTCCATCCATGCTCATTTGTTGAACTTCTTGAGGAGAAAGTATTTTAATGCAGCGAACACAGTCAACAAACTCCCTGAAATATCAATAACAAGCAATTAAGATATCAAATTACAATAATAGCAACAACAATAATAGGGTTTAGGAATTAATCTAATTTCATCATCGGATACAACCACATGCATAGGCACATTTTTCAAATTCAGGAATCACAACTTGTACATGATGCACATTATCCAATTATTTTGGGGCTTGATATTTTTCATCATACAAAGTTCCAAACAAATTGTTTTTACTTCTAATTTTCATGATCTTGATACTCGTAAAATACAAGAAAAAGGGAAGTAGGAAAGTGTTCGGTGTGCCAGTAGGTATGCTAGTAAGATATTATTTACTAGATTATCATTTTATCCATGCAATCAACCCAGTGGGAAAAGGTTTCTATTGTGGTTGTTTGTAGGCTAGTAAGGAGAAAAAATGACTTCTGAATTTAGAAAAAGGGAGTAGCATCCATGTGGAAAAAAGCAAATCTGACGAAAAAAGAAACAATAGGACTTACTTCCATGGGTCATCTCCCACAAGCAGAACATCATTCTCATGATCTACATATACAAGTTTCCATCCAATCCTTTGTTGCTCTTCCAGTCGTCCCTCAATACCAAACATAAGTGCCAGATCCTGTTTAAGCTCCTCGTAACCTGAATATCGTGCTATGTCTATGGACCTTCCCACAGCTCCACGTTTGTAGACCTATAAGAACAAAATACTAACTTAGAAGTTAGAGCAACATAATGGCTATAAACAAACATTCTAATCAAGAAACATACATCTACCATCGAGACATGTTTATTAATAAAACAATACTAAACCTTGGTGTATGTTCTCCTCCGCTGAAACTGATGTTGTGGTGGAGGTGGAGGTGGAGGTGGCAGAGCCCATGCATCCTTGTTCAAGAAGCTACTACCATTTATCGTAGAATCAATTGAATTGAAGCTCATATCAGGGACGTCAAATGTCTGTGAAACCATTGAAGATGAAAGTTCTGGCTGAACAACTCTGTTATTTTCATAGTCTCCAAGCAAGCCTCCTGAAGAAAAATTATTTGACAAATCATTCCCCAGCCCCACTGTGCCTAGATTTGGTGGCAACTCCATTTGGCCATTCAGGTTATTGAAATATGGAACATTGCTCCTATCATCAGCCTGAACTTCTGCATTTTGACTATTGTCTCTAAAATACATTGATTGGGGATTGTAAGAAAATTGGTTATTATTCTGATGTATACGAGTATCACTCTGAAAATGGAAAAGTGAAGTTGTAGAAGATGTTGAATCCAAATAGTCTGTCTGGACAACACCATTCAAGTATGTCTCAGGGGCAACATTCCCTTGATTCAGACTTTTGGAAATGTTTAAAGAAGGCTTTACTTCATACTTCGGCTGTACATCTTTTAACTTGTTTGCAGATGACATGGTTTCTAAGGCACTTGGACTCAAGATTGTGACAGAAGATTGAGCCATGTCATCCCCTATTGTTGTACTCTTATGGATCTGGGAACTTATCACTGGAGGAAGTGTACTGGCACAATTATTTGTGGAAGGTGAAGTGGAACAAGATGGGACATCATCAGTAATTATTGATTGCCCTGCTCCAGTCAGTACACTTCCACCAGAAGCAGAAAGTGGATTGGATTTAACTGTAGGGGGAAGTCCAACATGGCCAGACGTTTCAAACAGCAAGGCAGGTTGCTGAGATAGATGAGAGAATTGAATATTTTTCTGGCTACTGGGCATTGTTATCCGATGGGTGATAGTATTAGCCTCAGGGAGAGAGTTTTGAAGTGTAGGAAGATTTTCCGGTACTTGACCAGGAGTTCGGACACTAGAGTTGTGTGCTACATCTAAAATCTGTCTCCACTGATCTTGGCTTTGAATTTGAGCAGGCTGCTGCAATGCAGACTGTTGTGCCAAGAGAGTTTGTTGTTGCCGTTGAAGCTTCTGTAACAACTGAAGCCGAACCTGATTATCAGACATCTGTAATTGTTGATTAAAATGATCCGGCATAGAGGGTTGAAATGAATTTTTCCGTTGATTCTGACCCATAGTAGATTGTTGATGTTGCTGTGGTGGGTTCTGAGACACACTTGTCAGCAGTTGGTGGTTTTGAATGGATGATTGTTGCTGTTGAAGAATATTATCAGTTTGGACAAGACTCTGGGGATTCAGAAGTTGGGTGTGAACTTGATTCTGTGATAAAGTTTGATTTGTCAAGTTCCTTTGTTGTTGGGTAATATCACCCAATTGCTGCGGCGGCTGCGTCACCATTCCTAATGCACTAGGTGTGGACGGTAGCTTTTGAATGTGATCAAGTTGCCAGGAAGTCTGAAGTATATTCTGAGCATTGACGGATACATTGTTTGATTGAGATATTTGTGGAGTAGAAAACCCTTGCTGATTTGCAATATCTGCACCAGCAAGATTTTGCTGAAGGAATCCAGGCATGGAAGGCACATAATTTGGCTGCAATGAGCTAGCCAGAGCAGGATTTTGCTGTATATTCGTCCATTGAATTAAGTTCAAGCCAGGAAGAGCTTGAAGATCCTTCATGCATGTATCATCACCGAGCCAAGGCACTGTTCTCTTCAAACCGTTATTGAAATCAGGCTCATCATCTGCAATAAGTTTAAAAAATAAATTACAAAAATACATCAGTGTAAACAAATTTCCGATGTTCATATTGAATACAAGTTTGTCTTCATTGAGAAATTTGATAGGTTCTTGCTAAGTCAGGGGCACAGGGAGGGGGTTGACCACAGTGGCAGGTCACTCCCAAGTATTTCAGGTGTAATTGGTAAATAAGTGCTAATCATTTTTTCTAATTTTTTGCCACTACTCAATATGTTTATGTCTGGTTGCACACTGCACTCGTTGGTCAGTAGTCCTTCTCTACTCATGTATAAGCAAAAAAGTACCTAAAACTTTTTGACTTAAATATAAACAAATTATAACTAACTTGATCATATTTAATGCTACCATTCCAAAAAATATAACTTTAAATTAAATGTAATTACTATTTCCAGTGAAATTTATTAAGGGTAATTTAGGAAGTAAAGTTTAGTTTTTACATGAAATCAATAAAATTAAATGAAATTAATTAATTTCCTTAATATATGTGAATTTAGGGAATTTTGTTTATATATGAGTTTAGAGAGAGTGGCTATTATACATTTATACTCAATCTAGATATATGTTTTGCCCAGCTGACCATGATTCAAAAGCAAGTATTGCATGATTTTTGTGTGGTGAACACAGCAAATGCTCTCATTTTTTATTAAATACTTCCTTCATCTCTTAATAAGTGTTGCATTAGAACAAAAAATAAGTTTCTAAATAAGTGTCATGATAGTTTTTTAATGTAGTATCAATTACTTTTTTTTCATTTATCTCAATAATATTATATAAAAAGTGGTTTTTGTGTTGCTGTTGCACCATTTATAGTAAAAAAAAAATTAATCAAAAGGTTAATTTTGTAAAATCACTATTTTCTTTCATTTACTATTTATTAGCTTTTTTTTAGTCCATATAAAATAACCTAAAATGACACTTATTATGAGACGAAGGAAGTATTTTCTACTTTTGTTTTCTTAACCAAAGCCCTAATTGCCCTAATGATTACCTCAAGGACAGTGGTTAAAAAGCATTCAATACATTTTATTAAATGCTTCAAATTTCTTAAAAATGCAAGTACTAAATGATTTGTGTTCTCAATATAATAAATGTTTTTATTCTCAATAAACATTTTCTACTTTTATAGTTTTATTTCCTTAACTAGCACCCTAAGGGCACACTCATTAGCATGTTCCAATTTTATAAACAAAAAGTTTTGGTGGAAAAAAGTAAGAAGGTTAAGAATGAAAGAATCTAGCAGAGGTTGTTTGAGAAAAATCCAGCATAAATCATTTTTGCACCTAAAAGGTGTGTGCCGAAAAAATTATTCACCTGGCATTCC